TTTCACAGTTTTCTTATGCAGAGTCCTCAACTAGTAAGAAAGACATATAGTGTCTGAGACAACTTTACATTATTCAAAGGAGATAAAATATGCTGGTCTTAGAGACAGGCACTTACGCAGAGCTGGAAACCAAGACAGAAATCTGACAGTTAATTCGCCTGTGTGATTTTAGTTTACAATTTAGATATGTACTGCTGATTTCAGCAAAGTATAATTCAGCAGATAACTACCAACCAAGGCAGGAGGATAAACTCCTTCGAAAATCAAAAGAAACCAGGCAGCACCAATTCAATAATAGCTCAAATCAAGTGTTGGCCTTTGATAAAAGGATTGGCAAGTCATTCCAAAGAATACAACAGCTAATTTACTTAGCAAACATATTCAATGTTGTCTCCAATCAAATTAGTATGGCCCTATTACTCATGAGTTTTATTACTACCATCCCGCAGAGAATGACCTTGTGGTATGTATGAACACCTTGCAGGAATGATTTATTTTCCTGATGACTTAGTAGGAAAAAAAATCTAGCTTCAAAAGAAACTTGGTTTACCCTCCAGTTTTTGTTATTTATCTAAATGTAAAAAAGGCCTTTTAAATCTTCCTATTCTGAGCCCAGAAGTTTTTCATTTGGAATTAATGCTTTCACCAGAATCTGATGCATTTTTTCATCTGAAGTTATTAAACAAAAGTGGAACTAACCAGATTATCTTGCATTTCTCCAGCTCAACACAGATATCATCAGAGTCATTAAGATACTCTCTTCAAGACCAGCATATGAAACACTTCAGTGTACTGAAATAAGTCTCCCCAAAGCTGATGTTATGGATAACCAAGTTGGAAGGCATTCATAAAATTTGTTATGCAAGATGCCCAAGAAATTTTCTTTGAAGCTGGGGTATATGTATTTTGAGCATAAATTTGTTTTGATGGTAGTGAAAAAATAGTTGTCCATTACCAGATTACACAGGGAACTGAAGACAAATTCCATGAAGTGGGCTGGAGACTTCCCAGCCTCTCTCAAGGAGGGGCCAAAAACTCCTATTCTCATTTAGTAGAACCAAGTTTAATATCAAGTTTAAATTGCACTTAATATTGTAAGCCAAACCTCAGGCTACCTACACGAGACAGCCTCTGTAATGCAGCTACTGCATCTCTTTTTCCTCCCCCAACCAACTCTACTCCCTTGCGATTCTAGTCAAAGAAAGATAAATTGAACAAATGACCCTTAATTGAAACCAAGAGGTTGCTAATGTGTTTTAGAGTGGTTTCATGGGTTTTCAAAATGAAAAAAATAAATCCAGATCAAATGCATCCCAAGAACACAGCGCATGCCAGGCAGACACCTACCACAAGTCACTTTGGTGGGAGCTGGAACCTCCTGCTTTGGAGCAGAAGCTGCTTTAGCTCCCCGACGCCTACAAACTGTAGCCTTAGATCGACCTCTGCTTACTCGCTTCCTTTTGCTTGAATTGGAGCCTAGAGAAAGAAAGGGGAGGGGGAATGATACAAGTTTTTACTGGTGCTCCCCACGAGCCTAGTAATAGAAGAGAATCTCTGTAGTTTAGGATTGAATTGTGAGATCCCTGGCGCTCTCCGAGCTTGGTTGTTTGCTTGCAGATGTTTAATTACTGACTAGATAACATCAGTGCTAGCAAGCGTGGGGCTTGCTAGAAATAAAGCTCATATTACACAACCTGCCATTCTACATCCATGATTCATGAATTTCAAACACCAGATAGTAATTAGTTATAATTTATCTGAAAAAATGTTAGTTTAAAATGGATCTTTTATTAGGCACAGGATTATACTGCTTAGTATTAATATCCTGATTTTTATAAAAGTTTAGCATCTGTAATAAACAGTTATAAGACAAATCAGAACATAGAATATTATTCTTTTCAAATTGCACCTGTCTCCCACTGATCATGGCGAGGCTCTGAAGAGGCTGAATTCAGACAGTTGTCCATTTGTTGGTCTGCTGACAGAACAGATGGTCCATAGGTGTATCTTTCAGGAGAAACTAGAATCAAAAAAAGTTTTGAAAGTTAGGCAGTACTTCAACTGGAAGAGTTCTGCAAGGAAACACTACCAGTTGGTCAAATCAGCTTGGATTCCAGTTCTGCTGTTCTTATAATCACAATATTCAAAAGAATAATATATGCAAAGGATTATTCAGTGCCTGAAATTGTCATAACCATTTGCCCCCTTTAACACTTATCTTACAATAAGCAAAACTGCTACAGGATAGGTAGAAATGACCTAGGGTTAAATATCCACTAAGAAAAGAAACTTTGTGAGATTCAGTCAACAATGAAATGTTACGTTTTTTCTACTGCTCCAATCCAGTACCTGTACGCTGCCTTTTCAGGGTAACATATGGCAATAGATCATGCCTTGTTAGCACCCTCAGGAGCTGTAAAAGCTGCACAAAGTTGGTTTCATCACATTTGCCTCTCCTCTCCAACTCCAGGAGCAGTTGGACACCATTCTTTGGCTGCCATTTCTCTGCAACTGCCTCAAGGTTGCCATCCTTCCTCCCCAAATTACATTGGCACTGATTTTTCCTCTTCCATTTTTCTAATGCTGGTGAGGTAAGCTCAGAGCCACCTTCTTCTGCTGCTGCCACGGTCCAAAGGGCAGGATCCAATGGATGAGTCCAGGGCTGTGTCTCATCCAGAAGGAACGAGAGCACTTCCACATCATTCTCTGTGAGCTGAGAACCAATGACTTCAAACATCTGATGCAGGGAAACCATCCCATAATATTCAAGGCATTCTTCCTCTTCCCAAATGTGGGCAAAAAGTTGCCTTCTCATGTCAGCCATGTAAAAACGTGAATCCTAGGAAGTTTTAAAGACTACAAACTAGGACTGAATGAATACACTGTATTCTGAAAACAGATGGAAAAAGAAGAGACTCTTGCCAAGTTGAATTAAGAAAATACAAAAACTGATCTGAAGTCTTGAAGGAAGATCCTTTCAGATTCACAGTTTCACCACACAAGAATCTGTAAATGAGAAATGGGAGTTACTGGATCAGATCAAACCTTCCATTGTTGCCTCAATTAAGACAATAAATATACAGCTCTACATCATTAATGCTACATGCCTATGGTGTGTGTGTACACTTGCATGCACATGCCTGAGTCAAGTGTTGACTCCTGGTGACTATTTGGACAAGACTTTTCCGTTTTCATGATCACCTTTGTTTTCTCCAGAAGTGGCTTGCCATTAACTCCTTCCTTAGGACAGCGTGAGTGACTAACATTATTTATTTAGCGTATGGCAAATACGTGGACTTATAGTAATTCAAATGTTAATGTCCAGTCCACCCAGCCATTCAAGGACAAGGGTGGACTATGTTGAAAAAAATCAGTCACCCAGCTGTCTTGTTGCCTTCACCAGGCAAGACAAGAACTGCACAGTCTCACCACTTCTATCCTGGTGCCTTTAGCTGCCATAAACTGGTTTCTAACAAGGCCAAGTGGTAAGGAAGGGGGGGAAAAGAAAGAAAGAAAGAGGGCCAGAGAGCACCATTCCGATTCCCCCAGCAAAAGCCAGCGACGACACCTTTCTCGAACAAGGCAAAAATGCTGTTTCATGTCCGACCAGACGGACGCCTTTCCAACAGCTGCAAGGCACGGACACACCGCGCGAGGGCAGCCGCGGGCCTTCCCTGCCCCTCCTCCTCCCTGCCCCCCGCCCCCGCCGCTCGTCACAAGGAGCAGCACAACCATCCGAGGTGTGGACGAACCCCGCTTGGCGCAGCCGAGCTCCGCCCGCCCCCAGACGCCCGAAACTCCGCCCCTGCAGGGACAGAGAGCCCCGCCCACAGGAGGGGAGGGGCGGCGGCCGTCTTCTCTTCGGAACAACCGTCTGAAGCCCCTCCCCCACGGCTCGTTTCACCTGTTTTTGACATCCCCTCCCCCACTTCCTCGACCCAGACAAGCCTCCCCCCACCGCTGTTTCCCTCCCCCTCACGTCGCCCCTTCCCGTGTTTTGACATTTCGCTCCTCTCCATTTCTTTCTTTTTATTCCTCGCGCAGCCTTCTGCCCTCCCCACCGTCGTTGTTTTTCTGACAGTGGGCCACCCCCTCAAACGCCTCTCCCTCAAATACACCTCACAACTACCGCCTCCTCCCTTCCTGCCTTCTTTTATCGGTGCCCCCGACTCCCTCCTCTTGAAATCCCAGGTGTCATTCGCCACCTTTTTTCCTGAGCGCCCCTACGAAATAAATTACCCCCCCCTCACCGGATCTCCCGTCGCCACAGCCGTCACCGCCGCCGTTTCAATCTTTCTGGCACCTTCGACTCATCTGCGCCTGCGCCCCGCCCCAAAACGGGTAGTCACCTGACCGCGCATGCGCTCCAAGTCTGTTTGTCTTGTCTCGCCCCAACAAGGCGAAGAGGCGGCCTCTCCCGCGCATGCGCCGAGGCCGTCCCTGGAAGGACTAAGCTATGTCGGTCCCTGCGTAGTGTTCCCCCGTTCACGTGGCCGCTCGCTACTGTCCCCGTGACTCGCGTGCGTGGAGGGGTTAGTCATTCAATAACAACTGCCACGCTGCCGCCTTCACCCCCTATATTGGAGTCGACTGAAGCCAGTCACTGACCTGAGGCGAAAAAGGCGACACTGCTGTCTTTATGCTTTAACGGCGACGCAGTGTTTACGTAAAGTGGTGTCAAGGAAACGGCGCTGATTACGTAATCAGCGTCCTCCAGAGACTTTACGCCTAGACACAAAAGAGGGAGGGGGGGAGGGAAACGAAGGCAGGTCTTCATCCTCGTGACGGGGCGGGCTAAAGAGCGTCCAGGCCCGCCCATCTCCCCTCAAGCTACGGTGCTGATTGGCCAGGGCTTTTCATGCTTCCCTCTCGCTGCTCTCCTGAAGGAGGGGCTGGAATGTCACAAAAATCCTCCGCGGCGGCCCGCCTCTCTAGTATCGAGGTCTCTGATTGGCTCCCTCGGGGTTGTGGGGGAGGCAATGAGAGGGCGCGGTGCAGCCTAGGCCGAGCGGGGCCTGCGTGACGAGGGAGCGGCGAAAGAGAGAGGGAGAGACTGGGCTAACGCCGGCTAGTAGCCGCGGCGGTGGGTTCGGCCCATGGGCCGGGTGAGTGCGGCGCCCTTTACCACTGTCGGAGCCGTCCCCTCGCCAGGGACCGCCTTTCCCTTCCGAGCCACCGCTTCCCTCCGCCCGGCGAGTCCTTCTGTCCAGCCTGCGCCCCTGTCAGGCTCTCCCCCCCACAGGCTGGGTTCACCTTTGACCTGCGGTGATGCATGTCGTCCCCCCCCCGCCGATGTTGCTTACAAACCAACATCAAACAATGGCTTAGCTCCAATCAGTCCTGGGTAGAACGAAAGGAGCTTGGTGTGGGAGAAGGAAGCCCAAGAGGGAAGCGTCTTTGGGCCATGGAAGTGCTGAAAGTGGCCTTCTCGAGGACGGCCTTCTCTGCTGCCGACTGCAGATGGTTTCCTCGTTTCCTGTTTCCTTGATGGTTCTTTCTCTGCAAAGAGCTCGGGGGGGGGGGATACTTGGCCCCCTTCCTCCTCCTCCCAGCCAGCAGAGGGGATTTCAGTGTAGCATCTTCATCAGTGGACTTGCTTTTACACAAAACAACTTTTTAAATCTGCCGTAGGTTCCTTTTCTTCAAGGATAGCATTTTCTAGCAAGTCCTGTTCATTTTCTTAGGTTGAAAATGCCATTCCTTTGTGGGTCAATGTGTTCTTCCTGCCATTGGTTTTGTGCACTTTTTTTTTTTGGGGGGGGGGGGGGGCAACCTTGCTTTCATTAAGGTTTCTTTTTCTCTCTCTCTCTACAATCTCTGTCCTTCCTCTCGTCCTTCCCCTCAGGTGTAATCACAATGGCAGAGGAGTTGGCTCAGTCCATGTTTTTCCAGCATCAGTATATGTGTTCGGAGTGCGGACTTCTCTACAACACTTTGGAGGCGGTGCTGCTCCACCACCAGAGCCATTTAGGGGAGTCCTGTGAGGTTGCAGCCGCTGCCACAGTTGCCAAAGCGGAATCCCAACAAGACAGCCGGTATCAGTGCCTGGAATGTGGGTGTGTCTTGTGCTCACCTGATGAACTGTTAGCGCACCAAGAAGTGCATCCCAGGGAAGTACCAACCCGCCCTTCATCTCTCCCAGCCACCACTGGACAGATCCGCTACCAATGCAATGAATGTCATGAACTTTTTCCTTCTACGAGCCTCTGGCTAGCTCACCGCCGGACACACCAGAAACAGGAGGCAAACTCTTCTCCATCAAATTTACCACCTTCTCAGCCGCCTCCCTCCCCTCTTCCCCAAATACCCAATCCTCAGCCTCCCCAGATCTCTTGCCCCCCAACCTTGCAGGAACTACATCCGCCGTCACCACCGTCTGTCCCCCCCATGCACCCTTATGAATGCTCAGAATGTGCCTGTCTTTTCTTAACGCCGGAGGAGCTGCTGGAGCACCAGGGCGAACATTTTACTGAGATCGAGAAAGAGAGCGGGGAGCCAGCTGAGGTGGCCACACAAGAGGCATCCAGCCCCCACATGTCCCCAGGGCCAGGCTCTGAGGAAACGACACCAGCGCCTCCCCCTGCTCAGGTTTTCTGTTGCGCCAAGTGCAAGCAGGCCTTCGGTACAATGTCGGCGCTGCAAAAACACCAACAGGAGCATGTGGAGAGCAGTGAGGAATTCCTGTGTGGGGAATGCCAGCGTGGCTTCACCACAGCCAAGCGGTTATTGGCTCACCAGCGGGTGCACGTGGATGGCACGTACGAGTGTCCAAATTGCAACAAGATCTTCAAAAAGGCAGCCTCTCTTGAACAGCACATGCGCATCCATAAAGGCGAGGCCCTCTACCTCTGTGTGGACTGTGGGCTCGGCTTCTCCACCGAGATGACCTTAATCATGCACCGCAAAAACCACACGGCCAATCCCTTGCACCGCTGTCACTGTGGCAAGACTTTTAGCAACATGACCAAGTTCCTTTACCATCGACGCACACACGCTGGCAAGAGTGGGATCCCGGCCGCTCGGGGGGCCGGAGGAGACCCTGCCTCTGGGCAGCCGACTGAACAAGTGCCCAGTGAGGAGGAAGCACTTGTGAATGGTTCTGCCCCTTCCTCCCTTTCACCAGGGAACTCGGCCGAGGTCTCCAGTGGTGGGTTCCTGTGTCCTCAGTGTGGAAAGGCGTTCTCCACCCATATCCGGATGGTGCGGCATAAGCGAGTCGTGCACGTGTTGGAGCGCAAGCACAAATGCCCCACCTGTGGCAAAAAGTTCAAGAAGCTGGTGCATGTGCGGAATCACCTGCGGACGCACACGGGGGAGAGGCCGTTCCAGTGCTCCGAATGTGGCAAGACGTTTGTTTCCCAGGCTAACTTGGCCCGGCACCATGTAACCCACACCGGAGAACGGCCTTACCAGTGCCAGGTCTGCGACAAGCGCTTCACTCAGTCCTCTAACCTTCGCCAGCATCGCCTTTTGCACATGGCTCCTAACGGAGACGGGCCCCACTCGTGTGACGACTGCGGGGCTGCGTTTCTCCGAGCCCGCCAGCTAGCCTTGCATCGAACGGTACACACAGGGTGCTTGCCTTTCCCTTGTCCAGAGTGCGACAAATCCTTTTCACGCCATCATCTCCTTGAACTGCACCGGCTTAGCCACTCTGGGCACGAGCCTCACAGCTGCCCAGACTGTGGCGCTCTTTTCGTGGTGGCCTCCAAGCTGCAGGAGCACCGCTGCACCAAGCAGAGCGAGCAGGGGAGCCCCCAGCAGTCGTACCTCTGCACGTCTTGTGGCAAATACTTGGGCTCGTTGGCCAAGCTGACGTTACATCAACTGGTCCATTCGGGGCAGCGTCCATACAACTGTCCCCTCTGCGGGAAAGCCTTCACCACCCCTAGCGGGCTGAGCCGACATCAACAGCGCCATGCTGGCCTGCGCCCTCACAAGTGCCCTACCTGCAACAAGACATTTGTGGCGGCCTCGGGGCTGCAGCTGCACCAGCGCACGCACACGGGCGAGCGTCCGTTCCTCTGCCCAGATTGTGGCAAAGCTTTCCGGCAGGCCACCCATCTTCGTGAACACCGACGCCTGCACACCGGGGAGCGCCCCTATCGCTGTCCAGACTGCGGCAAGGCCTTTGTGCAGTCCATGCACCTGGCTGAGCACAGGCGGATCCACACTGGGGAGCGCCCTCACCCTTGTCCCCTCTGCTCCAAGACTTTCAAGACCGTCTCGAACTTGCGGAGCCACCGCAAAACGCACACAGCGCTGGCTGACGGCCAGGATGCTCTGCAGTCTTCCGAATCTCTTGTCACTTCCGGCCAGTCCACCCAAACCATTATGTGCACCAAGTTTGGAGAGACAATTGCTATCATTGAGAGTGCAGAGCCTCTCCCCATGATGGAGACCATAGAGATCTATCTAGAGATGTAAATTTCCCAGGAATGTAGAAGCTGTGCCAGGGGAGGGGAATTTCCCATCTTTTTCCGTGTTTAGAGTTACAAAGGGCGTGCGAGGGCAGCGTCCACCCTTTTGCCTTGGTGCAGAGGTTTTAATTATCTTTTAACTCTTCTGTATACAAAGGCTTAACATGCCAGTGGGAAAGAGAGAGCACCGCCTCTTTGTGCATTCTTCAGCAGGCTTCTCATAGCACCAAACGTTGCTCATCAGCCGTTTCAGTTTCATATGGAGGCCTCAGCTACAATTTATGGACCTCATTTTGAGAATTTCTCTGGGCAGTTCCTTTTTTGTCTTGGGGGTGTGTGCTGTGGGTTGGAGTTGGGCCAGTCACCTTGACCAGAGTCGGGTGTTTATTGTAAATTAAAAGAGAGGTGTTCTATTCCAATTACGGTCTCCCATTTCATTATCTCAGATTCTAAGGAATGGCTCGAACCAGTATCCAGGACAGGCTGTCCTATAGCTTGACTTTGAATTATTTCCTTGCTTTGGTGGGGAGGGCTATTGTCACACAAAGTTGTAATTTTATAATAGAATAACACTGCTACATCTTAAGGCAAAAGAAGGGGATACTTTTGTGCTTTGATAGTTTGACAGAGTTTTATTATGCCTGCAGTCCTAGAAAAACAAGCCACGTTTTAATTAAAACTGTCCCATCTGAGTAACAAGTACAGGATTTCTGCTTTAATATGTAACTCCTAAGGCCAGTTCCATTTTTTTTAAATTGGAAAAGCTCTGTGCCATCTTTAATGATTGGCATATGACTGATGAACACTCATGTTTTAAAACTCAAGAAATTTTTATGACAATTTTCCAGACCAAAATATTTTAGCATAATGGGAAAAGGAAATAATGATTTCAATGGGTAGTCCATCTCCCTGGGTAGTTTTTGTTTTACAATGTTGTATTTGCTGCGTTTGGACGTTACATTAACATGACTAATCCGAGTTCATCCAGTGTACTAAATTTTAACTATGTTGGCTGGCTTCACAAAAAACATTGAAGTATTTGCGGAATCTGGAATTGTTAGCAAACAGGCATGTTAACATGTGAGGATATTGCCTTTTTTTACAATATAAAACTCAAAGACAATCTTAACTACCAAAGCAGATGGAAACAGTAGGGTAAATAGGTAAACGATGACGACACCGTTCAGTGAAAAGATTCCAGTGTAATAACTAACCAGGGAATTGTGCCACTTGGTTGGGGCCATAATGGATATGTTAATTGTGCACACCTAGCTACAATCCAGTGGACAAGTTCTCAGCTAATGCTAAAGGCTATTTTTTTTAAATTGGGGTGTAGTTCAATAGCAAGCATGACAGCTGACATGGCTAAGGCAGACTGCAAGTCCCCCACTCATATACATTGAATGAAGTAGAGCTATGTAATCCAATCTAAAATGCCATAAGCGTTCTTTTGTGAACTTGAATTCTGTGTAGGACAAAGGTCTTCAAACTTGGCAAGTTTAAGATTTGTGGACTTCAACTTCCAGAATTCAACTCCAGAATGACTGGAGGAGGAATTCTGGGAGTTGAAGTCCACAAGTCTTAAAGCTGTCAAGTTTGAAGATCCCGGTATTGGAGAATTTATGACATTTCAAGTAGCCAGTATTAACACAAGGAACATGAGGCTGGGGCCTAAAGTAGATACATAGCTCTAGTTCCCCATATCTACTGCAAAAGAGTCAACCACAAATGCTTGGGGTGGTAAAAACATTGATCCCAACATTAAGGAGCCAATTTAAAAAAAAGAGAAAAAACTTGAACATTCAGATTTAAATAGTGAAACTAGGATGGTACACAACTGAACCAATTCCACCCTCACTGAGATCTGAACAGATAGTCCTCAACTTACAACCACAATTGAGCCCAACATTTATGTTGCTAAGCGAGACGTTTGTTAAGTGAGTTTTGCCCCATTTTACAATTTCTCACGCTACATTTGTTAAATGAACCACTGCGGTTGTAAAATTAACACAGCTGTTAAGTGAATCTGGTTCCCCCCCATTAAATTGCTTGTCAGAAGGTCCCAAAAAGCGATTACGTGACCTCGGGATACTGCAACCGTCATAAGTGTGAGTCAGTTGTCAAGCATCCAAATGTAAATCCCATGACCATGGGGATGCTACATTGGTCATAAGTGTGAAAAACGGTCATGAATCACTTTTTTCGGTGCCGTTGTAACTTTGCACGGTCACTAAGCGAACTGTTGTAAGTCAAGGACTACCTATGTTTGGCAACAAACACCTCAACGGTGATTCCCCCCCCCCCCCCATTTTCTGGGACTTTCTTGCTAATTGTTTATCTCATTCGATTCTCTCCCCATTAATAAGGAGCTTCATGACAGTCCTTCCGTTCATGCCAATAATTTATTGAACCGGATGTCTGTACACAGCCAAAAAAAAAAAAAAACCTAAGAAAGAAACTAACACACAATGTTGGAAAGGAAGGAAGGAAGGCAGTGATGAGGATAAATATGAGGGTGAGGGAAATTATCCACAGGCTGCACCCTGGCTCCCTAGGGGGGAACCATGAATCCTAGATGATTTGAAAAATGGAAAGGGAAACTGGGTTTGGAGGGAGGGGGGGCTTCAATCATTGCAACATTTCATTAAGAAAAAAATTAAATCTATTTACAGGGAAAATGGAAAAAAAGGAAGCCATTTTAAGGGATTTAGATGAGGAAAATATGTATTTACAGCAGGAAGGGAACAGGCGTTAAATTAAAACTTGCCTTCTTCAATTCCCTTTGAGAACCCTACGTTCCCCCCGAGAGATCCACAAAACTGATTTTGCAGCACCAGGGAGGGAAAACCGCTACAGGGAGCAGACGCAACGGAATTCAGAGCAAGCTGCTGCTAGTTTCCCGCTTGCTCTTAATACCAGCTTGTTCCGGACACACAACGCGCAGACACACAACGCGCACCCACCCACTGGATTTCCCCCCCTGCAAGAAATCCCAGTGCTACCTCTGATGGGATCGCAGGGGGGACAGGGGACCGAGGAATGGTTGGCCATGCCCCCCCTCACAATCCAAGGCAAGGGGGAGAGGGGGTATCTTGTTCCCGATAAAGAGATTGCGGGCGGAGGCATGGCAAGCAAGGGAGCTAGAGGAGGGAGGATTGGGAGGGAGGGGTTTGCCAGGAGAGTGGTGGGGGGGGGAGGAAGGGCAATTCCCCGCTGGAATGGGACAAAACCGAGTGTTACTGGGCTATAAAACAGACCCGCTTTAAAAAATACAGCATCCGGGTTTTCATAGGCAGAGACGTCTCGGGATGAAGGGCGACCTGGAGAAGGAACCATTAACAGTGTGAAGGGGGTAGACAGGAGGTGGGAGTTCGGAAAGCATGAATGACATGAGACTGGAAAATAAAACCATATTTTTTTTTCCTCCCCGGAGGATGTTAAAAACAAGAGCAACTTAAAACGCAAATCAGGACAGACTTGGGGTTAGCCAGAGGGAGGAGAGGGAGAGGAAGAAAAGGAAGATGGCCGCATAGCTCTCCGGTCCTTCCCTGCCCCCTCTCCCGGAGGCGCCAACCTGAACCGCTTCTGACAGAGAAGGGAGCCTCAAGCCATGGGGTTTTTCTGTTCTCCCCGCCCCTCCCCGAGCCAAGGCATTAGAGGACAACCTTTGAGGGAATTTCCACCCCCCCCCCCCCCCCCCCCCCATCCAAGTGGCCATCCCATCCCCAATTGGCCTCCCCCTCCACCTGGTCCCCGGGCCAAGATTGCTTTTCCCCCACCATTCACAGTTCAGAGAAGTCCATGTGGGTGGCCTGGGGGTAGGGGGTAGTGGAGGGGACCTGCCCCCCGGGCCCAGCGACCCCTCAGGACGTATTGGCAATGGGTCCTGCGCCGTCTGCTGGTGTGACCTGGCTCCTGTCAGTGTTCATTCTTCCCTCACCTAAGAGAGAGAGAGAGAGACAGGAAACACTCAGTGTGAAGCCACGTTGGGACCTTCCTTTTCCAGATGAGCTGAGTTCTTAAGTCTTGCTTTGTTGACGTTAAGGAGCCCTGGAAGCGCAGGGGTTAAGCTGCGATACTGCAGGCCGACACTGCCCACAGCCCGGAGTTCGATCCTGATGGGGGGGGGGGTTCAAGGTTGACTCAGCCTTCCATCTTCCCAAGTTCGTAAATAAGAGGAGCCAGATTGTTGGGGGCGATAGGCTGACATTGTAAACTGCCCAGAGAGGGCTATAAAGCATTGCGGAGCACTATATAAGTCTAGCAATGACACGTAAGACTTATATACCGCTTCACAGTGCTTTACAGCCCTAAGCCATTTGCAGAGTCAGCATACGGCCCTTAATAATCTGAGTCCTCATTTTACTGACCTCAGAAGGATAGGAGGCGGAGTCAAAACTGAGCCGGTCAGGATCGAACTCCTGGCACCAGAACGCAGAGTTAGCCCGCAGTACTGCATTCTAATCGCTGCGCCCCCCCCCCCAGGCCTCTTAAGCGCTATTGCTGCTGCACCCCCATACACCAATAAGCTCCTCATGCGGCAGTTCCTCCTCCAAATTCAAGTGAAGCGCCACAAATGAGAAAGCACTCACTGTGCGAGGTTCCAGAGCCAGAGACAGACCCGACTGAGCTCGCCTGGGACCGGATGTGTGGTGGAATGAGATTGGAATTCAGCCCTGGCTGGATGGAGAGCTCTGCAAAGGAAGAAGGAAGAAAGAAAGGGTGAGTCATCCCATAACTCACGTCGGGAGGATTCCCTCATTTCTACAGGCTCCTCAACATGCCTGAGGAGAGCTGTTCACCTACAAAAGCCGAGAGCTCCACCTGACGTTTATCTTTTACGTGAAGGCCATGCCACCAAGCAGGGGGGGGAAAAGACCCAACTTTGCAAAAAAATAAATAGAAAAATAAAAAAGAATTGAAACTCAAGCTCTTCACCAGTGGTGCTTTAAAGGGGGCTTTTAATCCCGCAACACGGCAAACCTTCAGTTCCCAATTAATTATTCAATGACCAGGCAAAACAGAACATGGTTTTAAGATCATTCGCACTGCAATCTTAACCGTTCAAAAGATGGTATCTGCAGCGTGGGGGACAGCCTGACGCGCAAGGCTGCAGGCCGCACGATACCATCAAGAGGCACTTTTCTCCTGTTAAAACTGTTACGCGTACAACAGCATCAGCTTTGCCAACTGTGCTGAACCGAAAGGAGCTACGCTGGTTTTAAAAAAAGAGCATTTCAGGCTGCAGCCAATTACGTTTCTAGCTGCCGTAATTTATTCCCTTCCCAGTTCTACTTCACTGAGGCCGAAACTCTTCCTGTGACACCTCCTCTGACCTTTGGCAGAGGGAAACCAAACCAAAGTTATTCTCTCAATCATTTATTCATTCAAATACAGGGAATAGGAAGCAGCAGAAGGTAGAACGGGGGTTGGGTGGTGGAATAAAATATAAAGCCACGATATAAGTGAGAGACAGTTTAGTCTAGTGCAGGGGTGTCCAACCTTGGCAACTTTAAGACTTGTGGACTTCAACTCCCAGAATTCCTCAGCCAGCTTTGCTGGCTGAGGAATTCTGGGAGTTGAAGTCCATAAGTCTTAAAGTTGCCAAGGTTGGACACCCCTGGTCTAGTGGATAAGGCACCAGGCTAGAAAGTGGGAGACAGTGAGTTCTAGTTCTGGCTTAGCCATGAAAGCCAGCTGGGTGACCTTGGGCCTATCACCAGGAGACAGGGAGTTCTAGTCCTGCCGCCACTGTGTGTATGAAAGCCAACTGGATGACTTTGGGCCAATCTCCAGGAGACAGGGACTTGAAAACCAGCTAAATGATTCTGGGGCAATAACTCTTTTTTCTCTCTCAGCCCAATTCACCTCACAAGATTTTTGTTCTACATGTTCACCGCCTTGAGTTATTTGCAAAAAAGCGGGATATAAATATAAATAAATTAGGCGTTGAGTGAGAGGCCACTCCCAATGCAGTATTCAGCAGCAGTGGATTTAATGCCTGGCTCAATCAAGGCACTTTCGAAAATTATTCACTCTGCGTTTCCCATAACAAGCATTGGTGTTTCCTTAAGATAAGATTGTTTAAAAAAAAACCAGATATATTAAATAATAGTTATAAGAAAATGTGATTGTTGTTACATTGGTAAGAAAAGTATTAAATATCATTGTAAGCACAAGATATATGTACCCAGTCGACACACGGTTGAAATGAAATGGAATTATCGTAAAATGTAAAATTTTAAATTTAAAAAAACAACCCAAGCATTGGTATTTCCTTGAATTGTTCAGCATTTGATTGAGGGGGGAGGGGGTGTCGGCACCGCTTCCCTGATTTTTTCCCCCACTCAGCATTTGGGTGGACTATTGGTACCTTGATTTCCCTTGAATTTATTTATTTTTCAACCAAAAAAGAAAAAAAAAACCCTTCCCAGTCGTGTCCAACGGATTAGATGCCAGTCGCTTACTTACCCACAGGGCTGAAGTTGAAGAGTGGGGGCAAGTCACGGCCGTTGGGCAACCGAGCGTTGGGCTCACGCAGCTCGTCAAAGAAGCTGTTGGCACAGGCCTCCAGCGGGGAGAGGCGAGTGGCTGGGGTGTACTCAAGCAGGCGACTGCACAGCGAGATGGCCTCCAGCGGCGTGCGAGGCTTAAACACCTGCGGTGGGAGAAGAGCAGGAGACACGGTCACGCCCAAGCCAGATGCTCCCTGCCTCTTAAAACTCTCCCTCGCCATCCTAAGCCCAACATTGCTGAGTTCTCCAGGAATCAGAGTTAATCCAATGGAGGCGGTTCATGCTGGATAGATGGCTGGCGGAGTGATGTAGAAGAGCAGCCCTCCAATTCTTTGGGTACCAGGGACCTCTTCCACAGGGGAAGGGAAATTCCACAGACTGGGGGTGGGGGGGGGGAGATGTGGTTTTGCATGCGACCTAGATCTCGCACGTGTGCAGATGAAGCTTCACTCGCTTGCACGGCCAGATTCCCAATGGGCCACAGTCTGGGAGTTGGGGACCCTTGTCATAGAAGATTCCACCACTGTGCAATTTAAATTCTGGCCTTATTGTGGACTTAAGTTGATGCCTATATTTGCGGTATTTAACTTGACACAAGGGCAGCTTGCAGAATTCTACTTTCCTAGTTGAAGAGATTATTTTATTATTATTATTATTATTTGAATGCCAGGTGCATATAACCTTGCTATGCCGGGACCCCTCAAGTGTGTCCTTTTCAGTGTTATTTCAGAACTATAACTATCCTGGACGATAGCACGAAGTCAGCCCTCGTGTTTCATCCTCTCCCCAATCTCCCTGCATGCACACACACCCTTACCTTTATCCATGGATGTGCTTTGATCTGGGGGAATTTAAACTCTGTGTAGTTGGGGTTCATCTCTCGTATCTGTTCTCGCGTCGGTGTTCCCAACACCTGCAGAAGGGAAGGAAAGGAGAACAATCAAACCACAGCAACTCCTGACAGCACTTCGACAATAAGACAAAAGCCCAGTCCCTTGGCCCATTAGGCTGACTCTCCGATTCCACTTTACAGCATATTTGCAGGATGGAAAATAGGCTGCAGCGTTCTCGCTAAAGGGCAGATGGGGAAAAAAAAAATACAGTGAAAAGGTTACCTTGATGATCTCCACTAGCTGATCCACTCCACTGTCCCCAGGAAAGATGGGCTGCCCCAGGAGCAGCTCGGCCAGCACACAGCCGGCAGACCAGATATCTATGAGGGAAGCAGAAACGGGGTGCCGTCAGCTCCACTGCTTGCTCTAAAGAGCTGCAGCGCTTCCGCTTGGTTCCTGGAAACACCCTCCTCGCTCGCTGGTTTTCTGGCCAGACGAAAGATCTCAGCTTCAAAACTGAGCATCTCCAAGCAGACTGCAAACACAGTTATAAGGGCCAGAGAAAATGCTTGTCAAAATCAACACAGAAATACTAAGCCAGCGACAGGAATCCATATGCTGGCTAGAAAGATCAGGGAGGCAGAGCGGAGTGACCGAATGGGCACTTCCCGTTCTCACCTGACAATTACAATAGTCCTTGAGGTCCAACTGCAATTGGGGCAGTTGGGAACTTCCGTTACTAAGTGATGTGGTCATTAAACGAGTCACACCCAATGTTATGTTTTCCCACAGTTAAGTGAATTTGGTGCCCCCCACCCCATTAGTTGGAAAGCCGTGGGAAGATCTCAAATGGTGATCGCAAACCCCAGCCTGCTGCAAAAAATGCCAGGTGCTGAATATCTGAATTCCGACAATGTGACCACAGGGATAACTGCACCGTCATAACTTTGCACAGTTGCTGAACGAATGGTCGTAAATCAAGGACTATCTATGTAGGTCTTGCTTCCTATGAGGCAGTCACAGATAGAGCTATACCATAATGCAACCCATTTCCAGGCTGACTGCAACTCCCAGAATTCCCCCCTCCAGGTGTGGAAATGCATTTCTGGAAGTTGTAACGCAAAGATCTTCAACCTTGGCAAGTTTAAGACTTGTGGACTTCAACTCCCAGAATTCCTGAGCTAACATGACTG